TTCTACACTGTAGACCTGTATTCTACTGATATTCTGTTGCTCATGTCCCCCCCCCCTCTCCCACAATGGCATAACGGTAAGTCTGAAGGCTTAACACTGAAAACGGGGTTTTGATACCTGCAAGGGGCATAGATAGCCCATTATGTAACTTCGTTCTTAAGATTTCAAATCAGGAAAAGTGGCATTATTACTTGGAATGGGCTATTTTCAGATTTTTCAGGGTAATAGGTTTACAAGTGTTAAATGTTATAATTTATAAAAACATTTTATTATCAGTACTAACTTTTGTAAATGAATGAAGTAAACATTTTAGTGTTCTGTGCATTGATGAAAATGCTGGTTAAAAGTATTCTATCCTTGAAGTTACCAAGAGAGCTGGAATTCTTATTTTTCGTAGCCCCAAAAATTGTTTATGCAAGCAGTATGCAAATAATAGGGGAGTAAGTAGCTTGATACTAAAACTGTTTATAGTGTTAACCACAGGTACTTTTAGTGCAAATGCACGTTATTCAACACACGTAGGCCCTAGGTACCTTTGTATGTTATGAATTTAAATTTAAGTCTAACCTTGGATCGTATTGGTCATATTATGTGTGGTTATTTCGATTTTATTCCACTTATTTTTCGTGGGGTGCACCTATTTATTTGTGTATTCGTTTGTCTAGTTTTCTTTATATATATATATATATACACACACACGACAAAAAGTGATGTTTACATAACGTAGAATAGAAAATATTACATAATAATTTCATAGATAACATAACAATAAACATGAAAAATAGAAAAGGTAACTTCCATTTGTTGTGCACTTTTACTAACACTTAGCGAATAACACATAAATTAAATTCTCCCTATGTGTTTGGTAAATCTAAATTTTGCTCTCTTTTCTTTTTTTGGTGTTATTTTTCACCAAGTAACTTCTGACTTAATATAAACTAAAGCCAGTGAAACTGAGGACTATTTCCATCTGAGTCGGTTTCATACGTGTATTTCTAATGATC